CCTCCCAACCTGATATCTCATGCAGCACAAAAAACGCTTTGTGCATTAAACATAAGGAAATACAACTTGTGCTCCCAAATAACGTCATTTGGTGCGGAAATTAAAAATGCGCAATTCATGCCAACTTTTAAAATCAAAGCACAAATCTATCACAAAGCAGGTTCCCTGCTTCCGTTCCCAGACAGCGGACACAAAATTTTTCTAATGCACTTCATTGGCGATGATGGAGATGAAGTAGATGCACGTTATGGAATCAATACCTTGCTGAAGAGGCACATTATTTCGCAGCTACAGACGCTTTTTCACGAAAGGAACAATTTGTTGCGTTTGCTCAAAACAGCAATCAATATGATGCATGCAGACAAAACGCCTGCTGGAGAACACATCAGGAGATATAATGCTCCAACTATAGACGAAGTGGCAATTGTCATAGTCGGGGATCAGTTCCAACCTCGAGATATTATTCTCCATCGACGAAACGATCGATTGGTAAACGTCGCAGAAACTCACCGTTGTTATGATGCTTTGCAGTATCCACTCATCTCCTGGGATGGTGCCGATGGATACCATTTCAATGTGAGGATGGTAGATCCAGTCAATGGTGTAGAAACGATTAAAAAGTGCAGCGCGATGAACTTTTACTCATACCAATCATGACAATCATATATTGAAATGTCAGTTGTTTCATTGTCGATATGTATGCAAAAATTTAAACAGAACGTTTGCTGTTCCTCCGATTGAATCAGAAGAAACTTCGGTCCGAGGAATATATCCATTTGCGGGATGCTGTGATGAATGACCGTAATACGACCAACGTTGGAAAGCTCACGATTTTGCCATCCTCATACATAGGTAGTCCACGCCACATGCAGCAATATGCTCAAGATGCCATGGCATATGTTCGTTGCTACGGCCGTTCAGACTTATTTATCACCTTCACATGCAATCCAGCTTGGGACGAGATAGTACAGCTGTTATTTCCTGGACAATCGTATAGGGATAGGCATGACATCACAGCCCGTATTTTCAGACAAAAGCTCAAGTCACTGATGGATTTCATTGTGAAACATGGAGTTTTTGGATCTGTGCGGTGCTGGATGTATTCAGTAGAATGGCAGAAGAGAGGATTGCCGCATGCGCACATACTGATTTGGCTGTATGATAAAATTACTCCAGACGAAATTGACGATGTGATATGCGCTGAGATTCCACGGACAGAGGTTGATACGGATTTGCATGCAGTTGTCATCAAGAACATGATCAATGGCCCATGTGGTACCCTCAACCCAAATTCACAATGCATGGTAGACGGGAAGTGTTCCAAGCGATATCCTCGAGCATTTGCAGCCAACACCGTAACAGGAGACGATGGATATCCTCTGTATAGGAGACGGTCAACTGAAGATGGCGGGAGTTGTATGGTCTAGATTTGGATGCAGATTGTTTTTCACACGGACAATTATATGTTGCGTGTTCCCGTGTCGGAAAACCAGATAGTCTTTATATTTACGCGGAGAATGGAGAAAAGAAGAATATTGAATACTAACAAGTATGAAAGAATTAAATTAATTTGAAAATTATTCTCTTTTGTTTGACTTATTTCATATGCGTGCAACCACAATATGCCACGGAGAAACGTGGCAGGGTACAGCTGGTATATTAAGAAATAGAAAGGCATTCAGCACATTTAGAAGTTTAAACGCAACCAGACTCCTCCTCCAGCAGACTCGAGCTCCGACCGCGGGTGCAGTTCAAGGACCATTTCCTGGAACTCAGTGGAATCATATCATGCACATATAAAACTACCACCACATCCTACACCACCAGTGCTACTAAGGCCCACGATCCTAGCCCTACCTATTGGTGGGCGAGAAAGCTGCGGTAGCTTCTCCACATACACCAGCTAAGGCTATTTCAAATAAGCATTAGGCTCCGCCTCAAAAATTATTACTACCGAATTCGTTTGCAACAAGGGTGTTTTTCTTTTTACCCAGTTTTTTACCCCTTCAACAGTCGACGAGTTAACTGAGTAGAAACTCCATTCCGTGGTGTTCGCTCGATGCATCAGGATCATTGTACCTTTTGATCACAGTGTACTGACATAGATTTTATTCATACCGAAACGGCGGAAGAGTCGTCGGTTAGAGTCTTACCATGTGAAGATGCATTCCTTTAAATATTTTTTTTTGCTAGTATATGACGATATTGAACAATAAAGAGACTTTCAATTAGTCTGGTAGGAAATTTATTTAATTAATACAATAACTGCCTAATGAAAAGTATGATTTTATAATATGATGTGATTTCATACAATAGTACAATTGTTTAACTGTGTCAGTAGCCTGCTTAACTTCCAATTTTTTCAATATCATCGGCACTGTCCGTATTAAGAATTTTAATTTCTTTTTTGAAATGTTTTTCGATAGCGGAGCATACGCTCATACTTTTATCTCCATCTATAAGGTTTATAGCAATTCCAGACTTTCCTATAAAAAAAAATATAAAATAAAACGTATTAGTATTAATAAAAATTATTAGCCAACAGTAAGCAACTATATTTACTTCGGTTAAATGAACCCGATTTTGAACAAATTAAAAAAAAGAAAGGAAGTTAACTTCGGCACGCTGAAATTTATATACCCTTGAAGATAAAACTTCGATCACTATGAATAAAAAATAAATTATATATATTAAAAAACCAATAAATTTATACCTGCCTTCATTTTATTCACCTATACTATATATAATTATATTTACAGTTTTACATTCACAGTTTTGTATTTTCCTCTATATCTTATGATCGTTCATATGGGAGCTATATGATATAGTCTTGCGATTTTCATAAAATTAGAATAATATAAAAGAGCTACATATATCTCAAATTTGATAAAAATCAGTTAAAAACTGAAAAAGTTACAACTTTTAATTGTATTAGTTTATTGATCTTTTCTATGGCAGCTATATGAAATAGTATTCAGATTTTCATAAAATTTAACACAAAATTGAGGAATAATATAAAACGGGTTTCTCAAATTTGTTCAATTTCTGTTGAAAACTGAATAAGTAAACATTTTTTTGTAAAAATTGTCCGTTTGTTTCTATGGCAGCTATTGATATAGTCGTCCGATCCGGCCCGTTCCTACATATATAAGAATGAGAGTATATAGAAGACTACCTACAAAGTTTCATTCAGCTAGCTTCAAAACTAAGAGACTAATTTGCGTAGAAAAGGACAGAGTGACAGACGGAAAAACTGACAGGCTGTTGATAGGAGGTGACTCCTTCACTGCGTTGCAAACTTCTGCCTGAACTAATAATAACCTGCAAGGGTATAATTATTCTAATTTCGTGAAAAATGCCTACATCTCAGCGGTTATAAGTAAATGTAGAAAAACATCGAAGTAAAGTTGATTTTCATTACATTTAACCTACATCAATTACCTTAACAATTTTACCTTTTATGTTACATTTACAGATAATTCCTATAGCAGTCCTCCTATTTTGATAAAACTATTACCAAAATAAATATAAAAATAAAAAAAAATAAATATGGCTATACTTCAAATCGAAGATTTGTTCCTGTGTTTATCATTCATTGCCTCTTAAAAATGTTAGTTTCAATAGTAACTTTAAAGTATAAACTCATCTTACCAAATCGCCCGGTACGCCCAATTCGATGTAAGTATGTTTCGCAGTCAGCGTTGCCACGAACATCAACTGGTAAATCGAAGTTAACCACAATTGTAACTTGCTCTATGTCAATACCTAAAACCAAGTAGTGACAATGTAGATTATTTTCAATTGTCGACTTTAGAATAAATAAAATACCTCTTGATAACACATTTGTAGTTATAAGTACTTTTTCAAGTCCGGAACGAAACCGATCTAAAACAGCTAGTCTTTGCTCAACGGTTAAATCTCCGGACAGAACCGCTACTGAATGACCATCAGATTTCATTTTGGCTGCAAGCCAAGCAGCTGTTCTTCGTGTCTGGAAAAACACAGATAATGGTAAATATACTTTTTTAAAGAGTCTACAGTGTTCAGTTTATTTATATTGTAAAATAAAATTGTATAAATTGTATTATATAAAATTGTGTTGTATAAAAATAAATTGTATTGTAATAATTATAAAATTTGCAAATTCTGTAAAGTACTTGGACCATACAACGATGGAAAAGTTTTGGTAGTATAATAATTTTATCTTGTTCCAATTCAAGTGTTTGGTGGTATATTGGTTTTGTATTTGTTATATTGTTGCCAATGTGTGACTAAAGTGGCAGCTCCAGTAATGTACAAAATTCAGTTCGTGAAACTATACCGAGTGTAAGCTGAGCGTAAAACGAAGATTTGTGTAACATTTTCAGTTATAAGTTGAAATCTTCTTTTACATTTTATCCACTATTGATGATCCCATCGATAGTTTTCACCTCCGCTTCAAACTTTGGAAGAAAAAACTATGCAAAGAATATTAATGTAGTCAATGAAGATAAATTAACTGGCAAATTTCCCCATCGAAGGGTCCTTAACTGTTCTGCTTGATTTTTTGTGTCAGCGACCGATGAACAAATTCGATAACTTACGATTAGATAAAATTAACACTAAAAGGCAAATAACTCATTCCTGATACGTCTGTAGAAAAGGAACGATCCTTTAGCAAGGCGGGCCAAATTAAAATATTTGCCTGAGGCAAACCCAACTCAAGGACAAAAATGTTCTAAATATAAACTTTTGGTTAAAATCGTTGTCGCCACATAACATGAAAACGACGACCGATTTGGCTGATTTTTTTTTTTGTAGTTTCCTGTACAAGGTTCTTATGGAAACAAATATTAAGAAAATCTCTCAGAAAGATTGAAAAATATATATTTAATTTTGCATATTTTATAAAACGTGCGTAACGATTGTCAACGTCATCTGTAATCTGTGACACCATATCGACAACAAAAAAATCTGTGGTAATCTGTGACAACACATCCACCGCGGCCAGACCTATTTGGGTGAAAATTGGCTTAGAGCTTTGAGCCAGGAAACGGATATAGGATACTTTTTATACCGTTCAACAGAATAGCGTGATATCCATAGCTGATATATAGCATTTACTACAAACCAATGTATCGAGTAGTCGTTTCCTAACATTTCAATTGGAAACAATAAATTAAATTAAGTGTAGGCATTTGTCTTTAAGGTGGTAAGTTGAAATATGTTAATTATGTGGATCGTGCATTTGAGTTATAGTCCAAAGGGACGACGTTTATTTACAGAACTTAAACAAAGATAGACAAAATATAATAAGAGAAAGTCCCCTATTGATAAAACGCGTGAGGACACGAAGATCATTGGCATCAGCGCAGAACTACAGTGATTATGAAAATATAGATATTGGACCAATGACGACTATATGCCGATATTGCAATGCGTTAAAGTTCAACAGAGAAGCGGCGGGATTGTGCTGCGCAAATGAAAAAGTTAAAGTGGCTCCATTACTTTTTAAATAAAAAACAAAAATAAAAATCACTAAACGAAATGTTACATAAAAGGAAGACATCTGGTTTCCAGTACTTTATAATTTTCTTGTATTCCTTCATAATAAATTTGTTTTCAAGCTGTACTATCGATGACGCTATCGGCACTACTGATGGCACTATCGATTTTTAAAAATTAACTATAGTCGAATATCGCAGTTTTCTACCTCTAGTCCGGGAGCGATGGATTGGGCTATGCTATCGTCAAACTAAAGTCGCCCTACTATAATTTATTTAGTGATGCAAGAAAGGGAAAAGAAGCGGTTCCTGGCAGCTTCCTGCATGTTGCTGGACCTACACTTAAGGAACGATGTGGAGAAACTACTGTCGACTAACCAGCATGCTTGCACCAAAGAGAAATTAGTGGAGACGGCACTACATTTGCTAGTAGCCACAAGTTCTCACTGGTCCTTGGTGTGGGCATTCAACAGACCCGCTAATAAGTAGCCTAGCCGTCAAAAAAAGCAATAAAAAACATTCTCAGTTGTAGGCGGGTAGAGTCTTATCGGGCACAGAGGCCTTTAGAAAATGCGAAAAATTCGAGGCAACCGAATTTGTTGAGAATCTCAATTATAGAGGTGTGGTGGAAGATGGCGCATGCGCTGCTTGTTGATACAAACGGCTAGTGGTCAAAAGTATTTACACAAATTCACAATTAATTTCACCGCCCAACTTATTTATGTTTTTGTACCCTTGCAGGGTATTATAATGTCAGTCAGAAATGTGCAACGCAGTGAAGGAGGCACCTCCGACCGACGGGCAGACGGACATGGCTAGATCGACTCGGCTGTTGATCTTGATCAAGAATATATATACTTTATATGGTCGGAGGTGCCTCCTTCACTGCGTACCCTGCAAGGGTATAAAGAATTTATGACATTTTTAGTTTTCAACAGAACTCGATCAAATTTGAGATATAGCCATTTTATATTACTCTTAATTTTTGTATCAAATTTTATGAAAATCGGACTACTATATCATATAGCTCCCATAGGAACGATCCAGAAATTAATACAATGAAAAATTAGAACTTTTTCAGTTTTCAACAGAATTTGATCAAATTTAAGATATAACGATTTTATATTACTCTAAAATTTTGTATAAAATTTTATGAAAATCTGACTATTTTCGAGCGATCGAGACATTAATACAATTAAAAATTATAACTTTTTTAGTTTTCAACATCAGCATCTTCCTGGATGCATATAGCAATAGTGGCCTTTTTCACCCTCCCTAGTACATTGGGTTTCCATACCAGTTTGCTATCCAGTACAGTGCCAAGGTATTTGAATTATGTTTTCCGGGTGAGTCTCGTTGTATTGATCTTTGGGGGATCCATGGTGGTACCTAAGAGTTGATTCCATGATTTAACTTAGGGTCGACGGACAGACTACCGTGATAATTATGCTTGTCGTCAGCATAGGCTGTTATCTTCGGGGCCTTCGTCTCGAACCTTTTGATTTGGTCGTCGACCACTAGATTCCATAGGGGGGTGATAGGACTCCGCCGTGCGGTGTGCCTATGTGCGTTCCTTTCACCAAGAAAGCGGTGCCTCAATCTGATTGTACCCGTCTGCAACTTAGTAGATTTCCTATCCAAAAGTTGATGGCCGGGTGCGTGTTGGTCGTTCCAAGGCGGTCCATTATTTCGTCTGCGCTTACGTCGTTGAATGCCCCGAATATGTCTACAAAGACTCCGAGCGCGTATTCCTTGTTGATATCCGCCCACATCGTTTCTGATGTATAGGTCCAGCAGCTTTTGTGCGTTTTGAATAACAATTTACACAAAATTGTAAAGTAACATAAAAATTTTTATATCTCAAATTGGATCAATACAACATAATTCAAATACCTTGGCACTGTACTGGACAGCAAGCTGGCATGGAAACCTAATGTACTAGAGAGGGTGAAAAAGGCCACTATTGCTATATGCATCCTGGAAGATGCTCAGCAGCACATGAGGTCTCTCGTCCGCACTAATGCACTGGGTCTACATATTAGTGGTGCGTCCAACCACTAAGCAAGAAATACATAGAGAGTCAAACAGTACCAAAAAGTACTATCACAAAAACGGCTGAGCCTGGAACCTCAGAGCACCCGAACGATATGTCTAGAACCCCAGAGTGCCTTCGGCTTTTTCGAGTTCGAAGCAGTCGTTCGAAACCGAGCACAACAAGAATTCACTTTTCAGTGGCAGATCGACCGTGGAATGATGAGAACGGGTGCGTTTCTTTGCGCTGTGCTCTCGTTTCTGTGTATACATATGTGTACAAGCGCTCGCACGTTTGTATGTTTTTTTATTGATATCAGATATGAACGGCTTTCGCCTAGCAGCACGGCAATGTAAGTTGGTTTCGTACAGGCACTAAGCAAGAAATACATAGAGAAGTCAAACAGTACCAAAAAGGACTATCACAAAAACGGCTGAGCCGGAACCCCAGAGCACCCGAACGATATGTCTAGAACCCCAGAGCACCCGAACGATATGTCTAGAACCCCAGAGTGCGTTCGGCTTTTTCGAGTTCGAAGCATTTGTTCGAAACCGAGCACAACAAGAATTCACCTTTCAGTGGCAGATCGGCTGTGTAAGGATGAGCAGGTGTGCGTTTCTTTGCGCTGTGCTCTCGTTTCTGTGTATATGTGTACAAGCGCTCACACGTTTGTATGCGTGTGCAAATTTCTGTTCGCAGTCTTTTTCATAGGTTTCGGACGGCCACAGCCAGTGGGCCGAAGCGGCGGCTCACTTGCTTATGACGTCACAGCAATACTTACTTATTTTAATTTAATTTTTTTTTGTCTGACAATATATTTCCAGGCTTAGCCATTTTTGTGATAGTACTTTTTGGTACTGTTTGACTCCTCTATGTATTTCTTGCTTAGTGGTCCAACCCTGCTGTACGGAGTCTTAGTGTGGTTCCAAGCCATGGAAAAGACGACATACAAAAAGCTTATGGGGAGAACCCAGCAGCAGCCAATGCTCTGCATATCTGACGTTAGGTCGATCCTAGATAAATTTCAGCTTAGATATTAATAATTTCATAGTTTATAACAAGTCCTAGGAGGGGAGTAGAACGAATTATGTAAGATAAGATAAGATAAAGATAAACGAAATGAAGCATAAATTTGAAAAATCGTATAAGTCGTTAAGCTAGAAACACACGATGCAAACAATTTGCAGCAAGTTGAAAATAATTTGCAGCAAAAGTTTGCACAAATGTTTACACCTATGCAAATATTGCAAGAAAATTTCTTGCTCCAATATTCTTTGAATGTAAACAAAGATTTAAAAGTGGGAATATCAATACATAGTGACTCTCCATTTAAAGACATAATCAAAACAAAACGTGCGGTAGAAATGTTCGAAACAGAAATTTCCCCGCCTTCGACTTTGCATTGAAATATTTCGAAATATTTTATGAATAAATGTAAAATAAGCTTATTTTCGTTAAATTCAATATATTCGCTATAAACATACATACATATGTAAGAAAAACAGACATTTACTGACTTTTAATTTTATGGCCACGGTTGCGTTCTCCAGAGAATTGCCCATATATATACATATATATATATACATATATATATTTTAATTTTTTTTTATATATATATATGTATATTTCGTCTGCAATACAGACGCTTGCCTATGCGTGTGAGTGTATACCAATACATATGCAAAAGACTTTTTGCTTCACTGAACACGACAAAATGGTCTTGGAACAACCACATTGTGCTTTGTTTGCTGCAATACTACGACTGAAAGCAAACAGCACATGCAAACAAGCAAACAGTTGACGCAACCAAGATAGCTGTCAAAAAATGTATACAGACGACAAGCAACAAATATTGCTGCAAAACAACTTTGCAAGTTTTTTGTTTGCAGCAAAATGTTTTCACTCGTGTTTAAACGTGCAAATTTGTTTGCAGCAATCAACTTGCTGCAAATTGTTTGCATCGTGTGTTTCTAGCTTTAGCACGGGCCAGTTCAAAAGGCAACTATGAACAATCAAGCGTCTTTTGTAGTAGAGTGTTTTAACCAAGCACGGACTATAATACGAAAATAGGGCGAATTTAAATAAGAAGCATTGGACAGAAATATCAACACTTCTGAATAGGCTTCAAACAAACTTATTTTTTATAAAAGAATATTTTCAGTTGGAAATATCGGTACAAACAAATTTGAATTGGTTCAAACTGAACCAACTGAACTATACACAGACGAAACCCTTAAATCAGAGGCAGAAAACGAAGAAGTATCATACCATTTCTGTGGTAATAACACAGAAACACAGGAAAAGAAAAGAGGAAAAGGAGACTCAGAGTCTTTAATAAGTTTATTAAACACTATAGAAAGCATAATGACAGACATTCCCAACGGGCCTATATAAAAAAATCTCTAATGCCATACCCGAATTTAATGCTCAAAAACTAAATCGACAGCAGTCAAATTCGTCGAATTAACCAAAGAACCGGTTGAAAAAATAGCTGTTGACGAATTTAAGTCAAAAATAGTAGGATGAACCTTAAATAAGGTGTGGCTGGTAGAACCCTCCAGCTGAGGGTGTCGTCTGTGCAATGGGCACTGTATTATAACGTACAACGGATAATGCATTGCCGCATGCTCTGTCCGGGGTAATGCTAGCTAAGGCCTCGCAGTAGATATTCTAAGCACGACAACATCAGTGCGGATCTATTGGGTTCCCAGCCATCAGGGCAACGATGGCAACGTGACCGCAGACGAACTTGCAAAAGGACGGATTCGGACTGGCGAGCGATAAAAAAAGAAAATGTCCCCGTCTCCCTAAGAACGCTTCAAAGCGAGTTGGAGAGGCGGGCAGACGCACTAGCAAAAAACAGATGGAGGAGGAAATCCGCAACCTGCATGTGCATAGAGCGCAATGATAAACTGAGAAAATGTCCCCGTCTCCCTAAGAACGATTCAAAGCGAGTTGGAGAGGCGGGCAGACGCACAAGCAAAAAGCAGACGGAGGAGGAATTCCG